GATCTTTTCCAGCTCCATCCAAGTTGCTGCAAAAGACATGTGTTTCTCTTTTTTGGTTGCTGAGTAATATTCCATTGTATATATGTACCACATCTGAAAGCATTATTTTTACCGCCGTGTTAAGAAACTGAAAAGTTAAGAAAAACTCAGTAAATTAGCTGTGTAGCGTATGCAACTATCCAACATGGGTTCTCCCCACAACGTGGGCTCTGTGTGGCTGGTGAAGAGAGTGAATACTCTCCCTCCTAACAGAGAATTCTCAACCCCTCTCCCTGCAGAGAATGCTGCGGAAGCCCTGCCGATGCCCCCAGGTAGGAGGCGAAGCGTGTTGGCTCTGCAGAACCCGTCCTCTCTTGGCAGACATTTAACCTTGTGCTGTATTTCAAGTGTTTCCTGATGAGATTGCTGAGTCAAGTTGGAGGGAGAGCGTATTGCGTCTTCTAGATAGTCTGTGTCCTAGGAAACCAGTGAGTCCTGCATTGGGTCAAGCCCTTGGGAACACGTACAGGCCACTGTTAAATGTTGCTCCTTCAAGAAGGATTCCCCTGAACGTGCAATACAAAATCACTCTCTCCCAGTCACTTTCTACTTTAGTAACCTATTGTTTTTCTCGTCTTACAGTCTATACTGTCTGAAATAGTCATTTATCTTTTTAATTTGGTTTACCTGTTATCACATGTCCTCCCCACCCACCACCCAAAAATGGGAGTTTGTGAAAGCAGGAGCTTTGATGATCTTGTTATCTCAGAGCCAAGGACAGTTTCTGGTCATAGTAGCTTCTAAAGAGAATGAAAAACAGACATACCCTAGCATCCCGCCTGGACAATAACCCTGCTGCTGAAGACATCAAAATGATCCACAGCCCCATGCAGGAACTGCCTTCAGGAAAGCCCCCAGCCAGGCAATGGGGCAGTATCCCACTCCCTTCAAGTTCCAGGATGTCCAGAGCATTCTAATAAGGAGATTTGTTGGTTGATTGGTTTTCTTCTACTTATTTCTCATTATCTGCATGGTCCTGAAGTTTGTATTCTGTTTTTCTGGTTTTGCTATGTAGATATCAGTATTTTACTGTCAGCATCTTAGGTCTTCATGTAACATATTGACGGGGGTGGCCACTGGGGCTGGGGCCTCGGAGTGGCCACTGGACCCTAAAGGAGGCACAAGAGCTGAGGTGCGGCCATGCCTTGATCATCCTGCTTTGGTCCCACTTGGGTACCACTGCTCTGGACAGGCAGGTGGCCTTTGCTTCAGTAATGCTGGCCTGCCCTTGGGCTGTGGGCATTCTGGAAAGCCAGACTTGTGTGTTAAAGCTGTTATCTTCAGGGACTTCAAAATAATGAAATCAGCAGATACTTCTGAGAGCCTACAATGCCCAAGGGGCTGTATTTTGCCAAGAGTTCACTATGTGTTGTATTTCGTATTTTTGACCTGTCACATTAAAGACTGGTTAACAATCAATAGCTAGATGAGGGAAGGTTATTCAATGTGATTAAATAAGAAATATTTCATTTGATTCACATCAACAGATGATGGAAATTCACCAACTATATTATCAGGTAAGAGAACATCCTTGTTCTGTCTTCCCTAGCACATTTCTGACCTCACAAAAATACAGAAGAGAAACGATGAAAGAGGTGCTGCAGAGTTCTTTTGCTGCAAGTAGCTCATTACAACTTCCCCCATATGGTTGAGTTTTTTTGAGCTGATTTTGGGGTATTGCCTCCACGAGATTCACTAACTTCTTTTTAAAATGAGATAACAAGGCCATTGTTTCTGAAAAAAAAAAAATGCTAGAAACCACTTTGAACATAGAAGTTTTATTGTTGTGTCTGGCTGCTTTGAGAATATCCTAACTCAATTTTTACCGATGATGTTTCAAATTTTCTTTGAAGAAAGCTTCCTTTGATCATGTGCAAATTTGCTGATTGTACGGGCCTCCGATTGCTGTTATAACAAATCACATAAACATGGTGGCCTACATAGTGCAGATTTATTATCTTGAAGTTATAGAATCAGAAGTGCAAAATGGGTGTTTCTGAGCTGAAGCCAAGACGTCACTCAGTCTGTGTTCACCCTGGTGGTTCTAGAGGAAGATTCATTTCTTGCCTTTTCCGGTTTCTAGCGGCTGCCTGAATTCCTTGGCTTGCAGCCTCATTTCTCTCTCTCCAAAGTCAACAGTGTTGTCTTCAAATCTCTCTCTGCTTCTTCTCCCCTGTGTTCCATTTCCACTTTTAAGCTCTCGCATGATTACATGGGGCCACCGGATGGTCCAGGAAACTCTCTCTCTCTCAAGGACTATAATTAGCAACATTATTCCATCTGTAGCCTTCGTTTCTCCTTACCATAAGCCCAACAGTTTCCAGGTTCCAGAGGTTAGAATAAGGACATTGGGGCAGAGGCAGTATTTTACGTCCCACACTTATTTATTAAATACCATTCTGCAGTTGTCTCTGCATGGAACAGACACAGCTCTCAAGGCGGGCACCAAGATATGTGATGTCAACAGAAAGCAGAGAGAAGGAAAATGTGCTAGGAGAGGGAGCGTCCACTCAGGTCAGCACGAGAGGACAAGCCTAGGTGGCCCTCCCTGTGGCCCCTCTTGCCAGTGTTCCTTCAGGGCATGCAGGCCCCATGATCTCTAGGAGCAGAAGCAAGCCCTGGATGTGTGGCGCCGTGGAGAGTCTTCATGTTAGAGCCCGGTGACATGTCAGTAATAAAACAGGCTACAGAATAAGCAGAACAGGCGAATAAAATTACCAGGGGGTTCTACCGACCACCATCAACTCTTAAGGAGAATGTGAAGCTCAGAATACACAACTCTCCTCACAAAATACCAAATGCCTACACCAGTTTGGGAGAGAGGGATGCAGGTGACTCGGTTGCACAGGACTGAGGAGGGCGGCTAAGAGCTGGCAATGTCACTACACAGCACTCACTTCAGTTGAGGCTCTGTCTCTGCTCCCTCTGTCACCATCCCTGCCAGCACCTGGCAGTCGCCAGCCTGCTCCCATCTCTACGGATTTGCCCGTTGTGGAAATTTCCTGCCAATGCAATGCTGTATAAGTGGCCTCGTGCCTGCTGCAGGGCCGGCCACAATGCCCCAGTTTCCCGCCAGTAACAGGGGTTTCTCCACTGCAGTCCTTCCTGCGGCCATCTCGACGCCTCGCTCCCCGGTGACTGTGGCGCCTCCCACACCCCCAGGTAGGCCCCACTCGCACCCCACTGCCGCGTCTCTCAGCGCCGCCGCTCTGAGGTGAGCAGTGAGCCGCCACGCTGACCTGGGCTCACCTGAGGTACCGTGGCCTCCGTTAGGGGTGCAGTGAGTTGAGGAGACCGGGGTGCGAGGCCCGAGGTGCATTCCATGCTGGGCGGGTTCACGGTTTGGTCGTCTGTAGCTTTACCGTCCAAGGACACCGGCTGCAAGGTTTCTCGGTCCACACGTGTTCACAGGGCAAAGAGGGAGGGGAGGAGAAAGGCAGGGAGAGGGGGCCAGAGGGAGAGGGATTCTAAGCGTCACCTCGCGTCTGAGTCTGAGAGAGTCAGTAGCGTGCCGGGACATTTCCAAGCTGGAAGGATTCATTATCTGCATGACATGAAGAATGCCAAAGGATCGTTATTTTATACTGCTTAGACATTAAAATGATAACATTTTGGATTTCTCAGTATATATAATGATAACACACAAAATATTATCATTTATAT